ATAAGCTAATGAAAAAAATATATAAACAATTTCATGAAATATATTTTTGAAATTCTTCTGATTTTTAAAATTAGATACTTAACGAAACTCTGTTCAAAGTACTCAGTTTCTCTGTATCCAGACATTCTTTGTAATAATACCTGTGTTTTTCTGTGTTGATGGATGGGTAGCTACATATTCTGCCTTTCTACTTAACCTTACCTAAATGTTGACACAGTTTGTTTTAATAATATGGAAAAACAAACCCTCCACAACCTTGGAATAGTCCATTATAGCACATAGTGTCCACACACATAGTGTCAACATTACTTTGGTGATTGTAATCATTGGCTATTGTAAAAGATGCTGCTGTGAATATCTTGATACAGATCACAACTTGTTATATTTATTTTGTGGGGAGAAATAGCTTCTGGAGGTTTATTACAGAAGCAGGATTTCATATTCAAAAAAGCTCAGTAGCTTTTGTTATGTGTTGTCTACTTTCCAGAAATATGGAGCCAGTATGTGGTGCTACCTGCAATACTTACCTACTTGTTTACCAACATTGTTTATCCTCATTGGCATGCATAATTAATATTTATTTTGCTAGTTTAATAAGTATATCATTGGTAAAACATACGTAGTTTTAATCAGTGGAACATTTGTGTTTTTAACATAAGATTTGTTTGTGACATTTCTTATTGAACTGTTTACTGAGTGGAATCTGAGCAATATCTTTGTATATTTAATTATTTGATTACTTTGCATAACACCTTTGTTATACTGTTGCAAATTTTTCTACTCTTTTTTTTTTTAATTTGGGTATTTTATTTTACCTGTGTAGAGATTTAAAATAAAATATATTTATCTGTTTTTATTATAATCTGTATATTTTTCTTAGTCATATTATGTTATTCTTCCAAAACTAGAATTTTTTCCAAGTCTCTCTCTCTTTTTAAAAAAATAATTAATTTAATGATTTTAATAATTTAATAATTTAAAGTATTTAAAAAAACGTAGAGATGGGATCTTGCTATGTTTTCCAGCCTGGTCTTGAACTCCTGGGCTCAAGTAGTCTGCCTATCTCAGTTCCCAAAGTGTGAGATTACAGGCATGAACCACTGCTCCTGCTTTCTTTTTGAAAAAAATATTAACCTACTTTCATTTTATTAAATGGTATTGTGAAGTTATGGGTCCAACTTTAGTTTACTTACTTAGAATCATTCTGCTTTTTCATTGTAAGAAATTAGATTTTTAGGCTGGGAGCTGTGGCTCACACCTGTAATCCCAGCACTTTGGGAGGCTGAGGTAAGCAGAACACCTGACGTCAGGAGTTTGAGACCAGCCTGGGCAACATGGTGAAACCCTGTCTCTACTAAAAATACAAAAATTAGCCAGATGAGGCGTGAGCCTATAATCTCAGCTACTTGGGAGGCTGAGGCAGGAGAATCGCTTGAACCCGGGAGGTGGAGTTTGCAGTGAGCCGAGATCATATCAGTACACTCCGGCCTGGAAGATAGAGCGAGACTCCATCCCTCCCCGCCACCCCCCAAAAAAAATAAGTTAGTTTTTTATTACAAAACCACTACACTTTCATTTTACAAGTTTACAGATTTTAATTCTTAGAGCCTCTTAATATTTTAGAATATAATTATTCTGGTCTTTTCATTCATTCCTTTTTTTCTATTTGTTTTTTATTTTAAAATTTAACAATATTTAACCCCAGTCTCCTGCGTGTCCGTCCTTAAAAAAAAAGAGTGATGGTATTCTATGGATTTTTTTAAATGTTTTGTTTTTTTCAAGATGGGATTTCACCATGTTGGCCAGGATGGCCTTGATCTCCTGACCTTGCGATCCTCCTGCTTTGGCCTCCCAAAGTGCTAGGATTACAGGCATGGGCCACCATGCCTGGCCTAATGTTTTATTTTTTACATTTTAGACAGAGTCTTGCTCTGATGCCCAGGCTGGATTGTAGTGGTGTGATCATAACTCACTGCAGCCTCAAACTTCTGGGCTCAGGTCATCTTCCTGCCTCAGCCTCTTGAGTAGCTAGTACTACATGTACGCTCTACTATACCTGGTTAATTTTTATTTTTTATTTTTTGTAGAGACATGGTCTCTCTGTTACCCAGGTTGGTCTTGAACCCTCAAGTGATCTTCCTGCCTTTGTGCTGGATTACACGTGTGAGCCACCATGCCTGGCTACTATAGATGGTTTTATAACCTGCCTTTTTACTTAGTGGTTTGTAAATCTCTTCCTATGTCGTTTAGCATTTTTCTATAACATTTTGATGGGCTGCATTATGATAGTGGATCCTGTAGATACACCATGATTGACCTAACTAAACTCCGAGTTTTATGTAAACTTATATAAATTGTACTATAATTAGAGTCTTTGTAACTGTATCATTATACATATTTGTTAATACTTTCTTCAGGTGTATTTCCACAAATGAAGTTAGTTAGCACTCCTTTAATATCAACAAAGAGGAGGAAGACAGACTGATAGGTTGTAGAGATCTGGATGCTAGGTGTTAAAAGACTTGTACTTTGGCCATTTATTGCCAATGTAACTTAGGACAAGCCATTTTGGCTTGGGATAAAACTTCTAGTGATTGTATCATCGATTCAATAAAATGCTTATGTAATCTAGAAAACTCTTAATATTCAAAAAATGGTCAAAGTTTTGATGGTGACATACATGTCTTATATATGTGTGAAGAATTTGAATAAAATTGTTCTGTGAAATGTGAGATGAAGGAATTTTTCTGAATCAGGTTATAGATCATTTTTTGTTTGTTTTTTGAGATGGTGTCTTGCTGTGTCGCCCAGGCTGTAGTGCATTGGTGATCTCAGCTCACTTCAACCTGTACTTCCCAGGCTGAAGCAGTCTTCCATCACCACGTCTGGCTAGGTTTTGTATTTATTTATCTACTTTTTTGGTACAGACGGGGTTTTACCATGTTGCCTAGGCTGGCCTCAAACTCCTGGGCTCAAGTGATCCCTCCACTTCTCAAATTGCCGGAATTACAGGTGTGAGCTATCGTGCCTGGCCTGGAGGGTATTTTAATCAAGACCTGAGATGATGAGATCTGAACTAAGGCAGTAATAGTAGTTGGGATGAAAAATGGGCATAGAATTTAAAAATTGGACTGAAATACATTTAGGTTTATTTAGGTGAGTATAGATGAGAATAAGCTAGGAAATGATAAGAATTAAGAAATGAGGGGTTTATGCCTCCAACAAAATTTCATTGCTTAGTGGTTCACACCTGTAATCCCAGCACTTTGGGAGACCGAGGCGGGTAAATCATTTGAGGTCAGGAGTTTGAGCCCAGCCTGGGTAACATGATGAAACCCTGTCTCTACTAAAAATACAAATATTAGCTGGACATGGTGGTGGCTGCCTGTAATACCAGCTATGGAGGCTGAAGGAGGAGAATTGGTTGAACCCAGGAGGCAGAGGTTGCAGTGAGCCGAGATCACACCACTGCCATCACTGCACTTCAGCCTGACCAGCAGAGTGAGACTCCATCTTAAAAAAAAAAAAATCTTGGGTTGGGAGGAAATTTTCTCTAGTTCTCTAGTTACAGCATTCTTTTTTTTTTTTTTTTTTTGAGATACAGTCTCACTCTGTCGCGCAGGTTCTTCAAGTACAGTGGCACAATCTTGGCTCTCTCTGCCTCCTGAGTTCACGTGATTCTCCTGCCTCAACTTCCTAAGTAGCTGGGAGGGTTTCAGGCAGCTGCCACCATGCCTGGCTGATTTTTGTATTTCTGGTAGAAACAGGGTTTCACCATGTTGGCCAGTGTGCTCTTGAACTCCTGACCTCAAATGATCCGCCCGCCTCAGCATCCCAAAGTGCTGGGACTACAGTCATGAACCACGGTACTTGGCCTTAGTTATGGCATCTTAAACAGCAATTGATAACTTTTTTTGTTTTTGGCTTATTTGTTTTTGAGACAGGGTCTTGCTCTGTTGCCCAGGTCGGAGTGTGCAGTGGTATGATCACTGCTCACTGCAGCTTCAGCCACCTGGGCTCAAGCAGTCCTCTCACCTTGACCTCCCAAAGTGTGGGGATTACAGGTCCCAAAGTGTTGGGGTTACAGATATGAGCCACTGTGTCTAGCTGAATGCAGGGTGTTAGCGTGCAAGAGCTTTGCCTGTTTTGTACACATTGGGCGAATAAGCTGTTCATATTTTCCTCCACTTGTATTTTCAAACTTACAGGAAGGAGAAATAAGCCAGGTGCAGGGGCTCATGCCTGTACTCGTAGCACTTAGAGAGGCTCAGAGGATTGCCTGAGGCTAGGAGTTTGAGACAGCCCGAGCAATATAGGGCGACCCTGCCTCTACAAAAAAGTACAATAAAAAAACTAGCTGGGCATGGTGGCATGTACTCATGATCCTAGCTGCTCAGGAGGCCAAGGCAGGAGGATCACTTGAGCCTGGGATATTTCGGTTGCAGTGAGCTGTGATGTCACCACTCTACTCCAGCCTGGTTGTCAGAATGAGACCCTGTCTTTAAAAAAAAATAAAAAATAAAAATTAGTTTCTTGTGCTTTTTTTGTAGCTTACATTAATCAGAATTTCCTTTTGTTTTTGGCAGTACAGAGAAAAACATTGAAAAGTATTCTTAAGCTCTTTTAGAATCTGCATCCATGTGTCCTCACTTTTATTGTTCCTTTCTCTAACATCCTGGGTACAGAGATGAACCTGACAGAGAGAGCTTTTGGGCTCTTAGCGATGATGTTTCCTTGCTCTTTGTTGTCTGTAATTAAATTAAAACTTCTGGTAGATCAGTGTATTTATACCATGGTATTTGAGATGTGTGGTGTTTATAATTTTGGATATCAGTCTTTTTAGGGAATGTGCAATGCTAGTAGAAGACCTTGAAAATTAGAATGAAATCACTCCTTGTTACTTTTAAAATATTTTAATTTATATCTTAAACAAATTATAGTTACAATAGAAACCTTATTTAAAAAGATAATAGATTATGCCTTTTTTTTTTTTTTAACAGAAAGTGACAACAGAATTCACAGAAGTGAAGAATTTTTAAGAAGGTAACGGAAAGAGAACGAAAATGCCGAAACCAGTAAGTTATTTTATTACGCTTGACACTGTCTACATAGTAATGCTGGGGTTCAGGGGTGACCTCAGCTACCCTGAGAGCACGTTTCTGGAGGGTTCTTGGTCTCCTGCTCTCTCAAGAATGAGAGGGAACCAGGTGTGCTCGCAAAGTAAATACCGGACCCCAAACAGTGTTTTTGCAGAAAGTGAATTTATTTTAGGTGGAGAGAGAGAGAGAGAGAGAGAGAGAGAGAGAGAGTGAGAGAGAGAGAGTGAGTGTGTGTGTGTGTGTGTGTGTGTGTGTGTGTGTGTGGACTCCAGAGGGAAAATCCAGGAGAGAGAAAGACAGCTTCCATGACAGAGTTTGTGGAAGGGGATTCAGACATGGAATTCAGTGGGGTGAGGAAGAAGGGGACTTTTAACCTGGGAGGAGCCCCCACCTTCTCCAAGACGTCTGGCCAATGAAAGGAGTTCCTTAGAACTTCCACTGGAGTGATTGACTTTTGACCCTTTCCCACCCCAGCGAAAATTTTAAGATAGTTAAATCTCTTGGATGGAGGGAGATGGGAACGAGGCATGGCGCTGAGAAATTCTTGCCCTTAAAACCACACCCCATTGTGGACCGGGAAAGAGAACACTTTCCCCCAGTAAGATACCATTAAATTCTTTTTGGAACGAGGCATAGAATTTTGGTAGAGTTCTTGGAAGAAAAAGATACTGATATTACTGTTATTTGTTTTTAGATTAATAGGGCTAGAGCATAGTATTATGTATGTGGTCATGACTTCTAGGTCAAACTCTTAGTTTTCACCTTGGTTCTGCCTCTAATCTCGGTTACCTTTGTTAATTTAGCACAATCTGTACAATTTTTCATTTCCTCATGTATAAAATGGGAATATAATTAGTTACCCTAGGGAATATGGTAAAGGTATCTGATACATATATTTAGTGCCCAGTAAATGATAAAAGCAAAGTTTGAAAAATGAAGCAACAGCATTTCTAACAGCATAAAAAACATGGCATACTTAGGAATAAATGTACAAATGCTGCGTAAGATCTCTACACTGAAAACTAGATGTAAGAAATTAAAGATTTAAATATATAGAGAACTATACAATGTGTATAGATGTCTTTATAAACTTGTATTAAGAAGTCAGTTCTCCATAAAAGCTTTGTAAATGAAATTCAGTTCCAGTCAGTTGAATCCAGGCAGGCTTCTTTGATTAAAATTGACTAGCTGATTCTAAAATATATTAATATATGGCTATACCAAAATGTGTATGGAATAGCTAAAGCAATTTACAAAAAAAGAAAACTTACACTCCTGGATTTCAGGATTTATTCTTATGTCACTAAAGTAAGACATTGAGTTACTGATGAAAGAATAAATAGACTAATAGTATTGGTGAAACGAAAATACACCAATGCACATGCATACACACATATGTATTCATTAGATTATTGAAAAGGGTGTCACACAATTTACTGGGGAACTAAAATTATTTTCAACAAATGATATTGGCACAAAGGGTTATCCATACAGAAAAACATGAACATTGACTCTTGTCTCACAATTTACACAAACATAAACTCTAAGTATAGACCTACATACAAAAGCCCAAACTATAAAACACCCAGAAGAAAACATAAGAAAAAATTTGTGACCTTGAAGTAGACGAAAAATTTTATATAATACACAGAAAATTAGAACCATTAAAGAAAAAGTTGGAGTTAATCAAAATTAAAAACTTTTTTGTGAAAGATAGAACATGGAAAGGCAAGACAACAGGAGAAAAAAGTTGCCATATAAAGTTCTTCTACAGTTCAATAATAAGACAACTCAGGTGTTTTTTTTTTCTCCTTTTTTTGAGCAAAATATTTGAGCAGATAATATTTCACAAAAGAAGCTATATTAGACTGGTAGACTGGGCATGGTGACTCATACCTGTAATCCCAGCATTTTGGGAGGCCGAGGTGGGAGGATCACTTGAAGTCAGGAGTTCAGGACAACCTGGCCAAAATGGTGAAACCCTGTCTCTACTGAAAGCACAAAAATGAGCCAGGGATTGAGGTGCATACCTGTAATCCCAACTACTTGCGAGGCTGAGGCAGAAAAATCTCTTGAATTTAGGAGGCAAAGGTTGCAGTGAGCCAAAATGATATATCACTGCACTCCAGCCTGGGTAACAGAGTGAGACTTGTCTCACAAAAACAAACAAAAGACTGGTAATAATCCAGTGTAGATAAGGATGTGGAGCAGCTGTTGCCTCCATTGTATTTCTGGTAGGAATATGAATGTTTACAGCCAATTTGGAAAACTCTTTGCCAGTATAATTGAGTGGAGAGTGTTTATTATTCCTTTTTTTTTTTTTTTTGAGGGGGACGGAGTTTTGCTCTTATTACCCAGGCTGGAGTGCAATGGCGCGATCTCGGCTCACCGCAACCTCTGCCTCCTGGGTTCAGGCAATTCTCCTGCCTCAGCCTCCTGAGTAGCTGGGATTACAGGCACACACCACCATGCCCAGCTAATTTTTTGTAGTTTTAGTAGAGACGGGGTTTCACCGTGTTGACCAGGATGGTCTCGATCTCTTGACCTCGTGATCCACCCACCTCGGCCTCCCAAAGTGCTGGGATTACAGGCTTGAGCCACCGCGCCCGGCTTATTATTCCTTAAAAAGTCAAAATTATATATGCAGTTGGATATTGATTGTGTGTTGTTTATTCATTACCAATTCTGGGAGTATAGAACTTGCCCTGTGGAGAAAACAGCTCTTGAAGCTAGGTAAGTTTCAGAATGTGGAAGTTTTTGGGCTTTAGAAAGGTGAATTTACAATATATTATGTGCATATGTCATTATATGATGAAACTCCCTTCAAGGTCTATGGCATCATCTCTAAAGTATTAATATTTCTATAGATTCATGTGTGAATAGTCACGTGAAGTGGAATAAATTAATTCGCTACAAGTGATAGTCTCGTGTCACTTCATGTCAGATTTTTGCTCAAAATTAATCTTTGGTTTTCAATGCTTTTAGGATGTCAAAATTACGGAATAGGGACTGTGGGCCCATATTTGCAATAGCCACAAAGCCATGATGATTTAGGAGAAAACATCTAACAAATGAGTAAAGTGATTTATATGGAGCAAATTATAAGCAAAGGGATTTATATGAAGCAAATTATAAGCTCTTTATTTTAAAAGATTTTGAAAGTCATTGAAGGAGGTCTAAATCAATGTACAGTGAGAAAACCATAGTCATGTATAGAGTCAATATTAATAAAAATGTTAATTCTTAACCAAAGATACCGAAGAATTTCGTCTTGTTCCAATACTAAATCATAAATGGTATATTTTGTAAAGTTCACAGTTTTATATGGAGTCAAGAGTGAAGATAATGATCCAGGAGTAGTCAAAATAGTTCTGAAGAATAATGCAAACTTACCCTACCAGATATCAAGACTTATTTAAAGAAATACTAATCAAGACAATAAGATATTAAAAGTAGTTTAATTGACCAGTGGAACAAAATTATATCCACGCTTATGCATATATTTGATTTGTGACAGCACAGAGTTTGGAGATTACATGAACTAATTAATTGTATTGGAATTTTAAAAATTCCCTATATTTTCATTCATATGGAGATTAAAAATGAAATTGGACCTCTCTCATTATAAGCAAAAGTTATTGAAAATTATGAAATTCAAAATAATAAATATATGAATATCCTTATGACTCCAGAGTATGGAAGGATTTCTTAAGGGTGGCAAAAAATTGGACAGGTACAGTTGGCTGATGCCTGTAATCCCAGCACTTTGGGAGGCTGAGGCAGGTGGATCACCCAGGTCAGGAGTTTGAGACCAGCCTGGCCAATATGGTGAAACTCTGTTTCTACTAAAATTAGCAAAAATTAGGCATGGTGGTGCATACCTGTAATCCCAGATACTTGAGAGGCTGAGGCAGGAGAATTGCTTGAACCTGGAAGGTGGAGGTTGCAGTGAGCTGAGATCATGTCACTATACTCTACGCTGGGCAACAGAGTGAGATGCTATCCCCCCCCCACCCCGCCAAAAAAAAGGATGGAAAAAATTGGTATCTGTGTGTAAAATATTTATAAATTCAACATTAACATTAAGAATGTCAGTTTATTATAAAGGACACTGAAGAAAGTAAAATAAATCACAATATGGGAGGTTATTTTGTAAGAAATAACTGACAAAGGATCAGTATCAAGAATATGTAAAGACTTCCTACATAAAAGTAAGAAAAAACAACTCAATAGAAAATAAAGTCATATGTGTGAACAGACATTCTAAGATGAGAATGAGTGGTCAGTTAAACATACTGTATTAGTTTTCCATTGGTCTGTGATGAATTACCACAAATTTAGTGTTATGAAACAGTACCCATGTATTATCCCAGTTTTATAGGTTAGAAATCTGGGATGATGTGAGTGAGTTCCCTGCTCAAAGCCTTATAAAGCTGAAATCAAGGTGTAACTTACTCTGCAACCAGCCAATTAAATTGGTTAGCTTAGGCCCTCCTAGATAATTTTCCTGTCCTAAGGTCAGCTGTTTAGTAATCTTAAGTACTTCTGCAAAACCCCTTTTATCATGTAATGCAACGGTAATCATGAGCATGACAGTAGGGGCCATCTTAAAATTTTGTATGCCACATGCCATATACAAAAATGTAGACTTCATCAGCAATCGGGGATCTTACTTTATAGCCATATTGAGATACCATTTTCTGCTAACTGAATTGTCAGATATTAACAAATCTGATGATATCCACTGTTCCTGGAAATACAGAACAGCAAGAATTCTTATGCAATGCTGATGGGAATATACGTTGACACAGTTACATTTATTCAACATTATGTGGTAAAGTAGAAGATGTGCACACTTTATTACTTAAGAATTCTGAGTATATTTTGGAGAAATTCTGACACTCAGAATTTGTACAAGATGTACAAGATGTTCATAGCAGTATTGTTCTTAATAGCCAAAAAATTGGAAACTGTTCATTGACAGGAAAATGGGTGAGTATATTTTTGTTTGGCCACATGCAGAATGTTGCATAGCAGTGAAAATTCTTATTACAAAAACATCAATGAATCTTAGAAACATATTGTGAAAAATTAAACAAGTGTAGTGAAATCCTAAATAATTTATTGCAGTAGAATATACATAACAAAGAGAATATATGAGAAGCGTGTAGTACAGTAGTCCCAGCCACAAGGGAGGCTGAGGCAGCAGGATCACTTGAGCCCGGGAGGTTGAGGCTGCAGTGAGCTGGGATTGTGCCACTGTGCTCCAACCTAGGCAACAGGGAAAAAAAAGTGTGTAGTTGATGAATTTTCATAAAATGAATATACCCATGTAAGCATTGCCCACATCAAGAAAGAAAATTTGATTAACAAATATTGTGTAGTTATAATACCACTAAAAATCTAGAAAAGTGAAGCTATCTTACATATACATAACTACATTTATGTTAGAACCATTTTTTTTTTTTTTAAAGCAAGAGAATAACAAAATTTAGGTCCATCATTACCTGTTGGTATTTACAAAGAAGTACAGTGGTTTATGCAACATTATCATTTCTTGTTATTCAGTTGGATGGTGGATTTATGGGTTTCATTTTATTCTTCATTGTTTATATATGATACATGTTATGTGTATGTCATCTCTTAAGATACTGTTTTAGAAAAGAAAAAAATATGATTTTAAAGAAGGATGAATCTAATATTTAATTACAGAAGTTATTCCAGGTGAAAGCCATAACATTTGCTAAGGTTCTGATTGTTAGTAAGACATATGGAGAAATAAGTCTGATATAGAGTTTTTATAGTGTGAGTTAAAGTTAGAAAGATAAAATGGCACAAGCTCTGTCCTCAGTAAAGGTACAGGCTGATGGAAAAAGATACTTAAAAACAAATGCAGTAATATACATTAATAAAAAACTTTAAATACAGAAACAAAGTAGGAATTGTTTTTAGAATTTGTTACAGAAACAAAGTAGGAATTGCTACAGGTTTATACTGGTGACAGGAAAAGTAATGAATGTTAGAAAATAGATACAGAAACAGCAAATGAAGTATTGGAAAATTCAAGAAGTAAGTTAATATATACACCATGGAATGCTATGCAGCCATAAAAAACGATGAGTTCATGTCCTTTGTAGGGACATGGATGAATCTGGAAATCATCATTCTCAGCAAACTGAGACAAGAACAGAAATTCAAACACTCCATGTTCTCACTCATAGGCAGGTGTTGAACAATGAGAATACATGGACACAGGGAGGGGAGCATCGCAGGCTGGGGTCTGTTGGAGGAAGGGCCAAGGGAGGGACAGCAGATGGTTGGGGAGGTCAGGAGGGATAACATGGGGAGAAATGCCAGATGTAGGTGGTGGGGAGATGGAGGCAGCAAACTACATTGCTATGTGTGTACCTATGCAACAATCCTGCATGATCTGTACGTGTACCCCAGAATCTAAAGTACAATAAAAAAAAAGAAAAAAGAAAAAATTTAAAAGTTAAAAAGATATATTTGGATCCCATGAGGAATTCTAGGTGAAGATGCTATTGTGGTAAAAATTATTTTGGTAAGGCATTGTTAGTTTTTGAGATATTAGAAAGGTATTTACACATGAAAATTATTAGTTAACAGAGTTTGGAGCTGGGCATAGCAGTACATGCCTGTCTCTTAGCTACTTGGTAGATTGAGATGGGAATATAGGGTTGAGTCCAGGAGATCAATGTTGCAGTGTGCCATGATTGCACCCATGAGTGTCTACTGCACTCCAGCCTGAGCACAACATAGTGAGATCCTGTCTCTAAAAACAACAACAAAAAATAGAGTCTAGCAAATAAAGCATTGTAGATAGATGCTTTTCTAAAAGTGAAGAATATGTTTACAGTATGAATAAAATGAAGTCTGATTTTTAGGATTTTTATGTGGAAATAAATATGGGATATTGAATCAGATTCAAAGCATTTGGAGTTAGACCTCAGATTAAATGCCTGCTTTGCCTTTTTTGTTTTGTTTTGTTTTTGGAGGCAGGGTCTTGCTGTGTTGTGCAGGCCAAAGTGCAGTGGTATAATCATGGATACATACATCATAGCTCACTGTAGCCCTCAAACTCGTAGGCTCAAGTAATCCACCCAACTCAACCTCTTGGAAATAATAGGCACATACCACCACACCCAACTAATTTTAAAATTTTTCATAGAGACATAGTGTTGCTGTGTTGCCCATGCTCGTCTCAAACTCCTGGCCTCAAGAGATCCTCTCACCTTGGCCTTCCAAAGTGCTGGGACTAAAGGTGTGAGCTACCACTTCTAGCTCTTGCTCTGCATTTTAATATCCATGTGTCCTTAGCTGAATAATGGAAATTCTTCACGTTTCTTTGGAAATAAAGGTAGTATCTCCTAGTATTATAGCAAGGGCTGAATGAGAGTATTGAAAGCCTGTAGCTTAGTGCCCAGTGTATGTTAAGTATTCAATAGATGTCTCTAAATGAGAACTTTATATGCTCTTCAAATACAAGTTTTTCAAATAGATTTAAGATTTCTTGTGATGAAAATAAAATTTTATCACTTTAATAAAGAATATCATAAAAGTATTTTTCATGCCTGATAACTTAGTATATTCTCTTTTCTACTACTGTTCTTTGTTTTTATTACAGATCAACGTAAGAGTAACTACAATGGATGCTGAGCTGGAATTTGCCATTCAGCCCAATACAACTGGCAAACAACTTTTTGACCAGGTATCATTTAACTGCATGAAATATGTAACTTTTGATACCATAGTGCGAATGTTGTTGCATACCTCTTTCTCTGTTTTTCGGTACTTTTGCTGATAATCCGACAATGTAGCACTTGGAATTTTTCATGGTAGCTATTCAGATACCCCTACTACAGCAGTAGGGATATTCTTTATTCTTTTACATTCCTACATTTGTGGGAGAGGACTACTCGAAAATAATTTTCAGCAGGCATTTATTTAACATCTATGAAAATCACTGTGATGGTGACTAAAAGGGATTCAAAAATAATATACAAAGTTGAGTGAAATGAGTAGGAATCATGGGCAGAAGAGACAGCGGGAGTGAAAGCATAGGGAATTACAGGTAGAGGGTATCCCTTACCCAAAATGCTTGGGACTAGAAGTGTTTAAGATTTTGGATTTTTTTTTAGATTTTGGAATATTTGCATATGTATCATGAGATATCTTGGGGATGGGACCCAAGTCTAAACACAAACTTTATTTATGTTTTGTGTACGACTTAGACACATAGACTGAAAGTAATTTTATAAAATGCTTTAAATAATTTTATGCATGTGCTGGGCATGGTAACTCATGCCTGTAATATCAGCACTTTGGGAGGCTAAGGTGGGTAGATCACCTGAGGTCAGGAGTTTGAGACCAGCCTGACCAACATGGAGAAAACTCATTTCTACTAAAAATACAAAATTAGCCAGGAGTGTTGGTGCATGACTGTAATCCCAGCTACTCAGGAGGCTGAAGCAGGAGAATTGCTTGAACCCGGGAGGCAGAGATTGCGGTTAGCTGAGATTGCACCGTTGCTCACCAGGCTGAGCACCAAGAGTGAAACTCTGTCTCAAAATAGTAATACTTTTATGTATGAAATAAAATTTATACTGAGTTTTTACTGGGACCCATCACATTAGGTTAGGTGTGGAACTTTCCACTTGCAGAGCCACGTTGGTACTGAAGAGGTTTCAGATTTTGTAGCATTTTGAATTTTGGATTTTTGCATTAGGGATGCTCAACCTGTATAGGCTATAAGGAGATCACTAACAATTTGGTGTCATAGGTTCATAATGTATGAGGCAAACAAAGGTTGGGATATAGAGGTCAGGTATCCGGTATGTTAAGGAACTGGGACTACTAATCTCATCTATCTTCTCAGTCTTGGGTATGCATTGGAGTCACCTGTTGAGCTTAAAAAAGGGGGGAGGAGACAGTGCCTTCAAAACCCCTTCCAGAGATGCTGATTTTATTGTGTGGGCCTACTCTAAATCATCAGTATTTTAAAATTTAAGCTTGCCAGGTAATGTTGTATTGCAATGTGAGAAAGTTTTACTGAGAAAATAAGGTAAGAGATTGTTCCCAGGGGTCAAGGAAGGTGGTATATCATGCATGGCATGAAACTTAGAGGAGGCTTTGCATACGTAATAAATTTTAAAAAAAAGGAGGATAAACTTTACATAAACTTTACATATACTTTTTCTTAGGAGCAGGAGAGTAATAGCTTGTACCCAGAATAACTTGATCTTAAAGAATGAAAGAGTTTCTAGCATTTTAGCAATAAGTAACATGAGATACCTTGGGTTTATTAGTTGTCATTCTGTCAAATGCAGATTCAAATCTGATGAAATAAAAATTTTAAATTCTGAAAAGTTGCTTCTTCTCCTAACAAATAATATACTTAATCCCCTAATTAGGTAATTCATAAAATGAAAAGTCCTGCTAAGGTCTTTTTGGATGATGAAAGGCTTTTTGTGTGGATGAGCAAATTTTTAAAGCAAAATCAAAGAGCTGAGTTCACCATACCTTGTGAACCAATCTCCACTTCTTTTTTTTCCAAACCACATTTGTTTTGGTATAATATCCACTTCTGTTGATTCTTCTAGGACTCCTGTTTGTGAATATAAAGTCTATCTTGAATAAAAATGTGAATAGAGTTAGCATTTATTGTACTTCATAGCAAATTGAAAAGTTATTTATAGTAAGTGAAATGTTTGTGGCAGCCAAAAACTAATCAGCAAGTTATTCTCTTTGGTATTGGATACTAAGAAATAAAACTTAATTTTTATTAAGTAGAGTTACTTTTAACTTGGATCAGAAAATGAAACCGCATTTATTATAGGGCAGTAATGTGTAGTGGTTTAGTAGTATGGGCACTGGAGCGACACTGCCTGCAGTAGTTCCATTTGTACCTGTTTGACTTTGGACAAATTAATCTCTTTGCCTTATTTTTCTTGCTCTAATTAGGATGAGGTAACATTACTTCTTTTGAGGTATATTGTGAGAATTAAGTGGAAATCTATATAAAGTGCATAGAACAGTATTTGATGGTTTTATGTGTATCTCTTTCTATTTATATAGATAAATACAGTGTCAATGCTGCATAATGATGTTTCTGTCAACGACAGGCCACATATACCGTAGTGGTCCCATAAGATTGCAATACTGTATTTTTACAGTACCTTTTCTATGTTTAGATATATTTAAATACACAAATACTTACAGTTGTGTTAGAGTTGCCTACAGTATTCAATAAAGTAGCATGCTGTGCAGGTTTGTAGGCTAGGAGCAATAGGCTATACCATATAGCCTAGGTGCGTAGTAGGCTGTGCCAGCTAGGTAAAGTATACTCTATGATGTTCACATGATGATGCAATTGTCTAACGATGCATTTCTCAGAATATATTTCCATCATTAAGCAACACTGACTACACGCACACACACACAATTCATATTGTAAATGGTCTAGATTATTATTTACTTAAAATAATTTTTTTTTGAGATAGAATCTCACCCTTGTTGCCCAGGCTGGAATGCAGTGGCGCAGTCTCGGCTCTCTGTAACCTCTACCTCCCAGGCTCAAGCGATCCTCCCACCTTAGCCCCTGGCTAATTTTTTTTTTTGTATTTTGGTAGAGATGGGGTTTTGCCGTGTTGCCCAAGTTGGTCTTGAACCCCTGAGCTCAAGTTATCCGCTTGCCTTGGCCTCCCAAAGTGCTGGGATTGTAGGCGTGAGCCACCGTCCGGCCTGGTCTAGATTATTGAGTATTGTTAACTGTTATAGACTGTTCTCAGCAGTTCTTTAGTCCCTGTTCTATTTCCTGACTGCTTTTCTTGAACTCAAATACAAGGATCTAAATACAGGCTTTACTTTTGTATATAAGTGTGTATGGAATGAGCTGGCAGCTTTACGTCAAGCCAGGAGTAAACTGGGTCCTCTAAAATGAGAGCACATAGCTTCATGAGTCCATGTGTAGCAAAGCCCCATGTCTGATTATGATGTTAGATCGAGGACAACTGCTCTGTGTTGGAGACTCTGAGTGCTTGAAGTCCTTTGGTTTGCTTCTTGCTGACTCTTCTTGACTAGCCTTCTCCTGTAGCTGCTTCTTGTGGGATTAAAGTACAGTGTGAATGTTCACACCCCCAAAGAGTGTGTAAGAACATCTGTTAAGGTGAAAGAAGTATTAAAATATATTTTTAGGCTGGATGCTGTAGCTCACGCTTGTAATCCCAGCACTTTGGGAGGCCAAGGCAGGTGGATTATTTGAGGTCAGGAGTTTGAGACCAGCCTGTCCAATATTGCAAAACTCTGTTTCTACTAAAAATACAAACAGGGTGTGGTGGCATGCACCTGTAATTCCAGCCACTCGGGAGGCTGGGGTGGGAGGGAGAGTTGCTGAAATCTGGGAGGCGGAAGTACTCCAGCTTGGGCAACAGAACAAAACTCCATCTAAAAAAATATATATGTATATAAAATCTTTTATATAAAATCATTTCCAAAATGTTTAAAAATATATATGCTTTATAGTATATTAGCATGACAGTGTGTAATTTGTAAATAAATATACATATATTATAGTTATGTGCCCAGGGAGTTTCACTTATAAAAGTATGTGATCAAAAGTTTATGGGCGCTCAAAGGACAGCCTCACAAAAACATATTAACTTAAAAAAAAATTCAGGCCGGGCGCGGTGGCTCAAGCCTGTAATCCCAGCACTGTGGGAGGCCGAGGGGGGTGGATCACGAGGTCAAGAGATCGAGACCATCCTGGTCAACATGGTGAAACCCCGTCTCTACTAAAAATACAAAAAATTAGATGGGCATGGTGGTGCGTGCCTGTAATCCCAGCGACTCAGGAGGCTGAGGCAGGAGAATTGCCTGAACCCGGGAGGCGGAGGTTGCGGTGAGCTGAGATCGCCCCATTGCACTCCAGCCTGGGTAACAAGAGCGAAACTCCGTCTCAAAAAAAAAAAAAAAATTCTAGGAGCACCTAAACCGCTGGGGAGATAGGGCCTAATAGAGCATTTCACAGCTGAGCTCTCTGGTTCTTGTATCTGTGTAAGAAAGTTAGTTTAGCTATTATCCCTTGTGCCTACTGTGGTACATCTCCCTTTTATTTACCTAGCATTGTGAATCTCTCAGAGTATGGGGGCAGAAGCTGAGGCCAGCTGCTTTGTTATACTGCTCTCTGCTGCTTTTGGCCTGTACATTCCTACTCCTGTACTCTGAGCTTGAATGTTTTCTATGGCACTGCTGGGGCAACCTATCTTTTACCAAAGTTAGATTATTTGAGATCTCCTTTTGTCCACATTGAATTTTTCATTGTTTGGTGTTGATCAGCTTTTGCATTATCAATATGAGACTTTATATTCCACATCTTCCAGAATTTTCTTATTTTTAATTTTTTTTTATTTTGAGACAGGGTCTTGCTCTGTCACTCAGGCTGGAGTACAGTGGCATAATCACAGCTCACTGCAGCCTTGACCTCCTGGACTCAAGCAATCCTCCCACCTCAGCCTCCTGAGTAGCTAGAAATACAGATTTACGTGACCACACTCAGCTAATTTTTTTTTTTTTTTTTTTTAAAGAGTCAACGTCTCCCTACATTGCCCAGGCCATTCTGAAACTCCTGGGCTCCTCCTGCCTTGGCCTTCTAAAGTGTTGGGATCACAAGCATGAGCCACTGTGCCCAGCCAGTGTTTTTTAACTGTGTCATTTCAGTGAAAATTTTCAAGAATGGGAAAGTAAACAGAAAGGTTCAGTTTTCTGTCTTGAAACCAAAAGCCTGGAATGGTTTAAGAGGGGTGTGTGTGTGTGCGTGCGTGTGTGTGTGTGTGTGTGTGTGTGTTGTAACTGGGATTATGGGTGGTATACACCACCAGGACTGTCTAATTTTTGTATTTTTGGTAGAGATGGGGTTTCACCACGTAGGCCAGGCTGGTCTTGAACTTCTGGCCTCTAGTGATCCAGCCATCTTGGCCTCCCAAAGTGCTGGGATCACAGGCATGAGCCACTGTGTCCTGCCAAATGTTTTAGGATTATTTTTTAAAAAGCAGGCTGGGCTCAAAGGTTCACACCTGTAATCCCAACACTTTGGGAGGCTGAGGCAGGCAGATTGTCTGAGCTCAGGAGATCAAGACCAGCTTGGGCAACATGAGACCCTGTCTCTACGAAAAATAGAAAAAAATTGCTGTGTTTGGTGGTGTACCCCTGTGGTCCCAGCTACTCAGGAGGCTGAGGTGGGAAGATTGCTTGAGCCCTGGGTGGGGGTTGTGGAGGTTGCAGTGAACTGAGATTGCACCACATGACTTCCAGCCTGAGTGATGGAGTAAGACCCTATCTCAAAAAACAAACAACAACAACAAAAAAATTAAAGGCTGAGCACGCAGTAGCTTACATCTATAATCCCAGCATTTTGAGAGGCTGAAGGAGGAGGGTCACTTGAGGCCAGGAGTTTATGACCAACCTTGGCAACATAGCAAGAACCCTGCCTCTACAGAAAAAAACAAAAAAACACATTAACTGGATGTGGTGGGATATGCCTGTAGTCCCAGCTATTCAGGAGGCTGAGGCAGGAGGATTGCTTCCGCCCAGGAGGTCAAGGCTCCAGTGAGCCCTGAATTGTACCACTGTACTCCAGTGTGGGTAGAGTGAGACCCTGCTTTAAAAAAAAAAAAAAAGCAAAAAAGTCTGGAAAAAACAAGAATGTTTATTATTTAAGAACTGATAATGAATCTTTCTATAAAGCTTTTAAAATGTTAATGAACTTTTACCTCCCCTGGCTCATTTCCCTCATTTTAAATATAGATTTTTTAAAAACCATATGCTTTTGTTAAGTGTGGGCAAGTCCTAGGAGTGTGTCCTAACTCCACCACTTTATTTACTGTAATACTTTTGAGTGCCTACCACAGGCTAATCATTCTGTGAGATACCATGGATTTTAAGACAAATAAATCAGTAATCTCTGTCCATAAGTATTATGCAGTCAAGGAGGGTAAATAGACACACTGCTAATAACACAATAATAGAGTAAGTGTTCTAATAGCAGGATAGATAGAGTCCTATGGGAATATCAGGGAACAAGTGATTAATTTTATCTAGATGATAGGAGAGCTTTATTTACAGAAGGCATGTTAGTTGACTGGTCCTTAAAGAATAAATTATTTTAACAGGTCATAAAAGTACAGAAGACCCATTCTAGGCAGAAGAAAAAACATGAGCAAAATTGTAGAAGGGTGGAATTTATGGTATGTTCCAGGAATGGTTTCTTGCTCAGTGAAGGTAGAACACAGAATATATCAGACACTTTTCTTTTTTTTTTTTTTTTTTTAAATTCAGTCTTCATAGAGACTGTCAAAAATTGCCAATGTCGACTATATTGCAAAGTTGTCACAGCAGGGTATTGGGAAAAGTTTTCAATTAGCAATAATCGTGCTTGGATAAACCTCATTGTCTATGATAACTGCTACTGCACAAAGCTTTATCAGACACTTTTCTAATCACCAAAATGATACTGTTTGCCCTAAATATACCAATAGGGCACTTGTGGGGGTAAATGGAAATAGAAATATAGGATTATGAAAACTGGATGGGTATTTTAAAGACGGGCCATCATTGTTGAGGTCATGATAGATAAGAAAAAACGAGGTATGAAAAAGTGGATCAAGTAAGAGGATTGAAGTGGCACTACAAAATTGAGTGTAGAGGCTGGGTGCAGTGGCTTATGCCTGTAATCCCAGCACTTTGGGAGGCCGAGGTGACAGATCACCTGAGGTCAGGAGTTCGAGATCAGCCTGGCCAACATGATGAAACCCCATCTCTACTAAAAATACAAAAAATTAGCTAGGTGTGGTGGTGCATGTCGGTAATCACAGCTACTTGGGAGGCTGAGGCAGGAGAATCGCTTGAAGGGAGACAGAACTTCCGGTGAGCCAAGATTGTGCCATTGCACTCCAGCTTGGGCAACAAGAGCAGTAAAAACCCCTTCTCAAAAAAGAAAACTGAGTATAGAAAACTTGAATTTGAGTTTTTAAAAATGTTCCTTCAATATGTTAAATTTAACCTTTTCTATGGCAAAGAAATATGTGTATACCTATACACATATTTTGTTCTTCTTTTGAAGTGTAATATAATCTAGACTCAGTGTATATGTTGAACTGAAATTGGTTTTTTCTTGTGTTTTAGGTGGTGAAAACAGTTGGTTTGCGTGAGGTCTGGTTTTTTGGGCTGCAGTATGTAGACAGCAAAGGTTATTCTACATGGCTTAAACTAAATAAAAAGGTAAAATATGTACAATAACATTAATAATTATGTTAAGTTGAAATTATCATGAATTTGTGCTGGAAAAGCTAACAGTCTGACTGATTCCAAGCTTCCTTTTGTAGTTACCTGTTAATCGTTAAGAGGTATCATGTGTTTTTAATTCAGTCAGGCACCATCAGCTTGCCATCTCAAAAAAAAAAAATGCTTACTTTTCCGATTTGAAAACTTGGCCTATAACAAATATTAAAGCAAATATTACAGATGGCGTACTCAATGTGTCAATTTCGATGTAAACATCTGTAGGATAAGCTTCTCAAGAATATGTAGAAACGTTTTCAATTTGGTTATTAGAATCTGAGTTTATCGGTCACATTCAAGAGCGTAGAATCTTTTATCACATATATTTGTTTACTGATTTAGAGTATTATACACTAAAATCTGACTTCATAGATTTAGAATCTTCTATTTTATTTCTTACTTTCTTCCAAAAAGAATTTGATGTGACTAGGTTCAATTATTGTAAACTTAAGATTTTTGTTGATACACTTGACATTATTTTTCCAGGTGACACAGCAAGATGTTAAAAAAGAGAATCCTTTGCAGTTCAAGTTTAGAGCTAAATTTTTTCCTGAAGATGTTTCTGAGGAATTAATTCAAGAAATAACCCAGAGACTCTTCTTCTTGCAAGTTAAAGAAGCCATCTTAAATGATGAGATATATTGCCCGCCAGAAACTGCAGTTCTTTTGGCCTCCTATGCTGTCCAAGCCAAGTATGCAGATTATAATAAAGAGATTCATAAGCCAGGATACCTGGCTAATGATAGACTCCTACCCCAGCGGTAAGTGAAACATGCCTTTACATTATATTGTTTGAAAATTACAGTCCAGAAGTCTATAAATAAAATTTTTTTCAGGGTATTTTTTTTCTTTTTGAGACAGGGTCTGGTCCTGCCACCTGTGCTAGAGAGCAATGGCGTGATCTCAGCTTACTGCAACCTCTGCCTCCCAGGCTCAAGCCATCCTACCACCTCAGCCTCCCAAGTAGCTGGGACTATAGGCACATGACAATTTTTTTTTTAATGTATTTTTGTAGAGTTGGGGTTTCATGATATTGCCCAGGCTGGTCTCAAGCTCCTGAGCTCAAGTGATCTGCCTGCCTCTGCCTCCAAAAGTGCTGGGATTACAGGCGTGAACTGCTGTACTTGGCTTTTTTTTTTTTTTTTTAATCAGATTTTAAGTTGCCAGCTGGATCACGGGTGTACTTCTGAAAATCATGACCTAGCACCTCCATAGATTTATATGCTCTATAATTACCTACGGTTGATCTGCTTCTTTCTTCATTCCCATAGGGTAAGCAATAAATGGAAGCAGTGATAATTTGGACTTGAGGAAAGGATATTGCTGCTTCTTGGTACAAATTCTAACACAGGAAGGTGCTTAATAAGTGAGAATAAGTGGCAGGCTGTGTTTTCTTCATAGAATTCCCTGACTATATTTTTTTCCCTAAGATAGAGCCTTACTGTCACCCAGGCTGAAGTGCAGTGGTACAATCTCACTCATTGAGATTGAAGTCCCCTTCTCAGGTTCAAGTGATTCTCTTTTCCTCAGCCTCCCAAGTAGCTGGGATTACATGGGATTACATCTGCCGCCATGCCCAGCTAATTTTTATATTTTTAGTAGAGACAGGTTTTCACCATGTTGGCCATACTGGTCTTGAACTCCTGACCGCAAGTGATCCTCCCCACCTTGGCCTCCCAAAGTACTGGGATTAACAGGTGTGAGCCACCGCTTCTAGCTAAATTTTCTGACTTTTTAAAAAGGCTTTTAAACTAGGTTTTTATACTTCTAGGCTAGTGCATTGTTCTTTGCTTTGGTTTTTTCTTTTTTGAGACGATGTCTTCCTCTTGTCACCCAGTGGAGTGCAATGGTACCATCTCAGCTTACTGCAACCCCTGCCTCCCAGGTTCAAGCGATTCTCCTGCCTCAGCCTCCTGAGTAGCTGGGATTACAGGCGCCTGCCACCATGCCCAGCTAATTTTTCTATTTTTAGTAGAGGTGGAGTTTCACCATGTTGGCTAGGCTGGTCTCAAACTCATGACCTCATGATCCACTCACTCGGTTTCTCAAAGTGCTGGGATTACAGGCATGAGCCACCTCGCCCGGCCACATTGTTTTTATCTGCAGTGTACTACTGCCTCTGTACTACTGCCTCTATAATGGCTATTTTAAAATAACATGGCATAGGAAAAAATTATTAGAAGGCCTAAATTTTGAGTACTGATTCAACGCTTTGCTGTATATGTGACCTTAGGTACATAACCTAAAACCTCTGAACTTCAATACCTAAGTCTGCAAAGTGGGGATAATAATTCTGCTCTGACTATCTTCCAGTTTATGATTATAATTAATGAACTATATGGTTTACAGTTTTAATTGTCAAAAGTGATACAAGTGTTACTTGGTAATATTAATGAAATCTAGAAAATCAAACATCAAATACTAATTTTTGATTTTTTAGAGACAGGGTCTGACTCTCTCACGTAGGCTGAAGTGTGGTGGTGTCATCATAGCTCCTGTAGCCTCAAACTTCTGTGCTCCAGTGATCCTTCTGCCCCAGCCTGCAAAGTAGCTGGGACTACAGGCATGTGCCACTGTGCCCAGCTAATTTTTGTATTTGTTGTAAGAGGTGGGTCTCATTGTGTTGCCCAGGCTGCTCTTAAATTCCTGACCTCAAGCAGTCATCCTGCTCCAGCCTCCCAAAGTGCTGGGATTACAGGCATGAGCCAATGAGCCCAGCCTAAATATTACTTTAAGTATCTTGATTCTTAATTTTGGTAGCATACATATCCTTGATATTACAGACTACACTGAGATCTTTTTAGAACCTAGAAAGAGGTTTTTACTATGCTCTATTTTTAGTCCACATTCCTGAATTAAAAAAATTTTTTTTTTCCTGAGACAAGATCTGGCTCTGTTTCCCAGGCTGAAGTTCAGTGGTGTGATCTCTGCTTACTACGACTTCCGCCTCCTGGGCTCAAGCCATCGTCCCACCTCAGCCTCCTAAGTAGCTGGGACTACAGTGTGTGCCACTGCACCTAGCCAATTTTTGTATTTTTTGTAAGGATGATGTTTTGTTATGTGGCCCAGGCTGGTCTCGACCCCTGGATTCAAACGATATGCTTACCTCAGCCTCCCAAAGTGCTAGGATTACAGGCATGAGCCATTGTGCCCGGCCCTAAAAAATGTCTATTTAAATGTAAAAATGTGCATTACTATTAACTTAAAATTACAGTTTTGCACCATTTCCTTATAATAGTATTGAAGCTTTTAGGTGTAGTTTCTTTTTCATGGTTACGAAATATGAAGGAAGACAACTGCTTCATGTTCACTTTTATTTTCTTTGTAGGCATTAAGGTTTATTTTAGTTAATAGACATATCATCTTTTAATACGTGCTTTATAAGGTGCCACAAGTATAGTAACTTTAAAATTTGATTTTTGTTTTGACACGGAGCCTTGCTCTGTTGCCTGGGCTGGAGTATAGTGTCGCAATCTTGGCTTACTGCACACTCCACCTCCCGGGTTCAAGCAGTTCTCCTGCCTCAGCTTCCCAAGTAGCTGGGATTACAGGTGCCTGCCACCACGCCTGGCTAGTTTTTGTATTTTTAGTAGAGACGAGATTTTGTCATGTTGGCCAGGCTGGTCTCAAACTTCTGATCTCAAATGATCCACCTGCCTTGGCATCCCAAAGTGCTGAGATTTCAGGCGTGAGCCACCACGCCTGGCCAAAATTTAATTATCAAATGTTATAGTGTTCTGCTGTGTAATTTTGTGGCATTAGTAGTCACCTTGGAAGAGGATAGAGTCATCTTCAGTTGTTCACCAAGAGAATCAGGAATATGAGATATTTGATAGTCTGTTTATATTCTTCTGGTTTTGAATGTTACTCTAACCTAACATCCTTTGTCTTAGATTTAAAGCACTTAATTCAGTAATCAGACTATTATGGTGGAATTTCGTTTCATATAAGGATTACCTTTTGCTTTATAATCAGAATTACTGTAAATTTTTTTTTAATGTTAAAGAACAAGAATGGTTTATCTATACAAGTACGGTATTTTTCACTGTCAAACCAGATTGTTGTTTGGTTGAGCAGCAGATGAAGTAATTGGCATGTGATGAAAAAATCCTTTAAACACTAGAATCACACTCAAGCGCAGTTTATTTTAAATACATGTGTGCTGTAACTCACTCTGTTTAAAAACAAGGAAGGTGGCTAAATGCTTTAGATAAGGTTGCTTGTGGTTGCTAGTGCAAATGCCCATTTCAGGATTTCTCCCTTAATTTTGTGTAAGTTGTTCTTTCAGAGTTGATATTCCATGAAGGACTGATTCAAGCTATTTTAATCTTAAATGAGACTTAGTCATAAAATCAGATGCCTGTTTCTTTTCTGTTTACAACAGTGAGGATATTTTTACAGTGATTGTCTTACTCCAGTATGGTATATAGCACACTTTTTTCTCAGTATCCTAAGTACAGCCTGGGGAATAAATGAGTAATTACGTTATTTGGTAATGACAAATTAAATAAAATAATTCAGCGGTTCTGATTTCTTGTATTGAAAAACCCAAATTAGTAATCTGTTCTTATTATAGAAAAGTTTAGCTCTCGTGGTATAGATAATTAGCTCCACCAGATAGTATTGCTTCTCTTGGAAAAGAGCTAGATACACATAAATTTTTGCATACCAGGTTTCTGACTTGGGCAGCTGGGTGTTTGGTAATACCTTTTATCAAAATGAGAGGAAAAAAAGTACATTTGAGGGGGAAGATGAATTCAGTTTTGAACATACTGAGTTTGAAATATGTATGGTATAACCAAGAGAGATATCTATTATTTATATGCATATGTGGGTCCAGACCTTTTAGAACAGTCTTGGACTACAGATACAGTTTTGGGGAGTAATCAGTGAATAGGTGATGATTAAGCCGTGAGAATGAAAGAGATCAACCTGCAAGTACTATCAAATGAGAAAAAGACCTAGGGTAGACCTTGTTGGACCTCAGCCTTTGTCTGTGGGTTCTGCATTCACAGAGTCAACCCCACAAATGGAAAATATTTGAAAAAATGAAATAGCACAGCAATAAAAAAAAATACAAAAATTTAAAAATACAGGATGACAATACAAAACATTTGTAGTGTATTAGGTATTATTAACCTAGAGACGATTGAAAATAAACAAGAGGATGTGCATGGGTTATATGCAACTATTACACCATTTTATATCAGGGAAGTGAGCATCCACAGTTTTTGGTATCCATAGGGAGTCCTGGAACCAATCCTTTATAGATGTGGAGGGACAACTGTACTGAGACAAAATGGTCAGAGATTCAATAACAATACCAGAAGATGGCTGGGCGTGGTGGTGCATGCTTATAATGCCAGCTACTCGGGAAGCTGAGACAGGAGAATCACTAGAACCCTGGAGGTGGAGGCTGCAGTGAGCCAGCATGGCACCACTGCACTCCAGCTTGGGTGACGGAGCAAGACTCTGTCTCAGAAAACAAGAATACTACCAGAAGAGTATTATGTCATAGAAACCAAGTTAAAAGAATAATTTATGGAGAGAATGATCAGCACCGCCAAATAGTTCCAAGAGGTCAAGTATGAGGAGAACTAAAGTGCTGGAATAAGGAAATTGGGGCCCGGCGTGGTGGCTCACGTCTGTAATCTCAGCACTTTGGGAGGCCGAGGTGGGTAGATCACATGCGGTCCGGAGTTCGAGACCAGCCTGGACAACATGACGAAACCCCATCTCTACTAAAAATACAAAAATTAGTTGGATGTGGTGGTAAGTACCTGTAATCTCAGCTACTGGAGAGGCTGAGGCAGGAGAATTGCTGGAACCTGAGGCGGAGGTTACAGTCAGCTGAGATCACTCCATTGCACTCCAGCCCAGGCGACAAAAGACTCCATCTCAAGAAAACAAAACAAAAAAAAAGGAGATAGATAGTGACCTTAGAAGAGCAGTCTTTATAGAGTATTGGGTGTTTGAGCCAGATTGGGTAGATTGGGGGCAGTGGATGTCAGTTATGAAAACTGATGTTAGTGTTTTCACAGCCCATAAAAGAAAGTTGGCTCTGAAAAAGAAAAAAAGAAAAGGATTGGGAAAAATTGACTCTTCTAATTGTTTCATTCATTCTGCAAATTTTTGAGGCCCACTTTAGTACTGGCATTGGGCATATAATTGATGAGCAGTCGACTGCACTGGGTTATATCACCAAGGCTGATTGCATGCCTGTCTGTGAGCCCAGAGGCCAGACAGCAAGAAAGACAAGAAACTGAAAACTTAGGCTCTCTAAGAAGGAAGATAAAACTCTTCTCCCCAAAAGCAAGAGCTTGAAAAAGATGCCTAGAGAAAGGAGCAGAGTATAAGAAGAACATAACGGTATGTCTCAGACCTCGTTAAGAAATCTAAGTTGTATGTAATGTGTCCAAGGGGAGATTTTATGATTTCTTTATACTGCCAAGAAATCCCTGGATTTCATACAAGATTTTTTATATAGCAAAACACTAATATTTTAACACCACAGCTTTTGCTATCAGTAAAGTAGGATCTGGTAAATAAAGGTGAGTAATTATCATATGAGCCAAAGAGAATAGAAATCATGATCTGTAGTGTGCATAGTAGGTAACTTGTAAACATGACTTTGCTAATTTGGTGTTAAAATAGTAGTAGTAGAACATAATGTTTGTGTTTGGCTGGGCCTGGTGGCTCAGGCCTGTAGTCCCAGCACTTTGAGAGGCCCAGGCAGGCGGATCACTTGAGGTCAGGAATTCAAGACCAGCCTGGCCAACATTGTGAAGCCCCATCTCTACTAAAGACACAAAAAGAAAAAGAAAAAAAAAATTATCCAGGCATTGTGGTGCACACCTGTAATCCCAGCTCCTCTGGAGGCTGAGATAGGAGAATCGCTTGAACTCAGGAAGCAGAGGTTGCAGTGAGCCGAGATTGTGCCGCCATACTCCTAGGCTGGGCAACAGAGTGACATTCCATCTCAAAAAAGAAAAAAAAAAAGAATGTATTTGTTCACATTTGAATTAAGAACACTGGAAGGATACAAAAACAAGTTATTTGGAGAGTATTGGATTAGAGTATGACTTTTCACTCTACTTTTTATTTAACTGAAAGTATTACCTACATAAACCAAAATTAGTAGGCAAAAAGGTAAATACAAATACATGAAGGAAGAATTAGGGCCCAAGAATTCTGGTTTCAATCTGGTCTTTAATTTTTGATATAACATTTTATTCCTTTGAAATATTTGGGTTCCTATAAGCTATCTTTGTAGTAACTTTTTGGAGCATGTGTTATTTCAAAGAATTTAAGCATCCTAGACACTTTTAATTTTGAGAGAATTATTGATTATTCTGATGCAATTGTAAAAAATAAGATAGATCCCTGGTATCCTTCTCCCAGCCTTCCCTAATGGTAACATCTTGTGTAACTACAGTACAATATTACAGACAAGATACTGACATTGGTACAATCTAGCCACCTTATTCAGATTGCATCAGTTTTACCTGCACTCATTTTTTGTGTGTGTAAGTATGTAATTTAGTTCTATGCAATTTCATCATGTGTATTAATTTGTCTGACAACTCCTGTAGTCGAGTTACTAAAAGGATTCTATACTTTTAAGGTGTATGATTTTGAATCATAAAGACATTATATTTTCTTTTGTCCTTTTAGTGTATTGGAACAACACAAACTAACAAAAGAACAGTGGGAAGAAAGAATACAGAACTGGCATGAAGAACATAGAGGAATGTTAAGGTATTTGGGTAGCTATTTTCTATGTTTTTTTTTTTTTCCCCTAAAACATATTTTTATGTCATAACATTTATTATTACATTATTTCCAAAAGATTATTTGACTTATGTAAAGCACTAATTTTTAATTCAAGGTATTTGTAATTTTAGTTTGATATGCTCCTACTTAAATATGTTACATTTAGTTTTATTTCAACAGGGAGGATTCTATGATGGAATACCTGAAGATTGCACAAGATCTAGAAATGTATGGAGTCAACTATTTTGAAATAAAAAATAAAAAGGGAACTGAACTGTGGCTAGGTGTTGATGCTTTGGGTCTGAATATTTATGAGCATGATGACAAGTAAGTGAATTAGTTGCATAGTGAACTAGTCATTGTTCAGTGCTAAATGACTTTAATCTTCTGTCCTGTTTGTCAGAGTACTTTCTTGTCTTGATTACCCTTACTACTAGTTTCAAACTAAAAGATTAGTCAATGCCACATAGATTTGTAGATATTTTCTCTCCTCTTAATCACCCTGCAAGTTCAGAGTTCTACTTTTCAGTGTATTTATCAAATGAAGTGATATCTTTTATTTGAATTGTGCTGCGTTAGCTCTTGTGAGTTATGTTTAGTAACTTAATTAAAATTTGTTCCCTCAATAGGTGAGGAATAATTCTGTAAAATGCCATTATGCTTGACCAATAGGTTGAAATTGAAATGAATATATATAAGAAATCAAGAGCAATGAGAGAATGAAATTAATAAATATGTCTATTATAGCTTAGAGGATGTTTTTTGAACATATATAGGAATTGTTTTGAATATATGTGGATATTAATACAATAGAACATCCCGGTATTATGCCTATTGAACAGTATAATTATATTTTGAAATTGACCAAATATTTTTATTATACATATATAATTCATCAATATTTTATTATACATATGTATAATATATGTATATTTACATCTGCATATTGTATATGTACTATATAAATACATGGGTAAATACTACATAAAGTATATTATAAACATATACATGCAATATAAAATACACCAGACTCTTACAAGACTTTTCAGGGTTAATAACTCCAGTTGTCTTAGACTTTATTTACCATACCACATAAGCATCCAAGTCTATGCCAGTAATTAATGCCTTTTCCTAAGACATTATTTATTCTAGGTTGGCTCCAGAATTTTATTATTTTTATTATTACAAGTATCTAATAAAATATTAATTTCAAAGCATATGTGATTCCAAATAAGCATTTTACTACTTTTACCCTAATCTCTTTTCATGTTTTCATTACAAAGCAAGTTAGAATGTACGTCATTCAGAATAGAAGTTTTTGGAAAGCAAAAATGACTTCAAGACTAATTTTTGTGAACTGAATTTTTTTCTTTTTTGTTTTAGAGAATGGGATCTTGCTATATTGCCAAGGCTGGCCTCGAACTCCTGGCCTCTAGCTATCCTCCCGCCTCTGCCTTCTCCAGTGCTAAGATTATAGGCGTGAGCCACGGTGCCTGGCTTCTTCATTTTTTGTTGTTGTTCAGGCATATATTGGAGCAATTTTTTTTATTTTTTAAAAAGTTATTGTATTAGCCTCCAGGCTTACCTCACAAGATTGTTGTGAGAATTATATGAGGCAATTGCTTTAGAATTTTTCGAAGTGGTATGTAAATACAGCATAAAATACTATGTTTCATTCCTGCAGTCTCTGTTTTAAGCAGGTTACACTGATATCAGGGGCCATTAGAGGGCAGTATAACACATGCATATTGACCTAAAGAATGTTTTTCTCTAGAGGGACAAAGAATAAAAAAAAAAAGAATGTTTTATGTAGAAAAGACTGCTGTTCTGCAGTACCTACTCAGCTTGCGAACTAAAAGCAATATAAATAGGTAGAAATTCATGCTGTGTTGTCGGAAGCCTGGCTAAAAGATGCCTTCTGGCCAGTATAGGTGTCAAAATCATTTCTCAGTCGTAGTTATTAGGACAATAGGACAATAGTGATGCATGTGATGGATAGTCTGAAACAGTAAAATACATGAAAAGGCAGAAACAAAATTACTTATTCCAATTTGATTCCCTATATCTTTAGGGTGGTAAAAAGGAGGTAACTGCTGTATAGTCTCAAGAGTTTGAATTCCATCTTGACCATTTATCCAATATTTGTGTGACTGTTTAAAAAAAAAAAAAAAAAAAACTTCCTGCCACACGACGCTCTTCCGATCTCGTGTGGCAGGAAGAAGTGCAATGGCGCGATCTCGGCTCACCTCAACCTCCGCCTCCTGGGTTCAGGCAATTCTCCTGCCTCAGCCTCCTGAGTAGCTGGGATTACAGGCACGCACCACCATGCCCAGCTAATTTTTTGTATTTTTAGTAGAGACGGGGTTTCACCATGTTGACCAGGATGGTCTCAATCTCTTGACCTCGTGATCCACCCGCCTCGGCCTCCCAAAGTGCTGGGATTACAGGCTTGAGCCACCACACCCGGCTAAAATTTTTAAGTTGACATATTCATATACCATAAAATTCTTTTAAAATATACTGAAATAAGTATTTTTAGTATATTCATGAATATTCAGACATATTCAAATTAAACATAGGAAGGAAGTACTTTTTTTTTTTTTTTTTTAAATCTTCAATAACTTGCCAGTAATTCACATGAGAAGTTATAAGGGCCTTCCCCCCCTCCCACTTCTTATGCATATTTAAACGGTAATTGTAGCTTGAATCCAAACAGAATAAAAACTAAATAGCTAGTGCAAACCCCAAGAGGCTCAGTTCTACACTCGGGTCACCAGGTAGTTTTTTAAGATAATTTTAAGAAAATAACTATAATACTTTTAAGGTTCATGACATATTTATGAAATCTTTGGACGATTGTTTTACGTGATTTATTAATTTTCCTCTTAAAAAAATAAGGTCAACTGCAGTTATGAATAAGTTAATACACTTTGAAAATATGGAACTCTAAAGATTGGTCATTCAGCCAGTTTAGGCCCTAACTAGTTAGGAGATTTGTTCATTGGTTCCTGCCTTTAATTAAGGAGATGTTCTCATTTTTTAAGGTTAACACCTAAAATTGGTTTTCCCTGGAGTGAAATCAGAAATATTTCATTTAATGACAAAAAATTTGTTATAAAGCCAATCGACAAAAAGGCACCTGTAAGTAATTTTTTAAATGTTTTGTGTATGAACTGCATATCTGCTACTTTCCTATGATATCACTTGAAGAATAACATTGTTCATTTATTAAATTGCTTCAAGGAACTTTCTCTTTCCATGGGTCAGCTTTCCCAGTGATGAAATAATATATGTTAATAAAAATCCAAAGTTTAATTTTTAAAGTAAGATGTAAATATTAAAATTTTGTTTGAAATTCAGTTATAAGATAGATAATATATATTAGGAGGTTAGTAAAACAATCACCATTCCTAAGAAGCAATTTTAAAACGTTTCTTCATTGATGGCTAGAATGCAGTGGAGGTAGCCCTATTCTAAATTAACATTGTTTATACAGTTTTGCATTATAAACTTTGTATTTTTGTAACTTGAAGCCTTGAACTTAAGAAATCTTTTTATTTAAATAGATTTTTAAATTTCCGCTAATGTCAAGTATACTCTAGTATCCTAACTCTGTTAGTTATTGGAAAGATAAAAGATAAGGAGAACAGGCCGGGCACGGTGGCTCAGGCGCATAATCCTGGCACTGTGGGAGGCTCGAGGGAGACAGATCACCTGAGGTGAGGAGTTCAAGACCAGCCTGGCCAACATGGTGAAGCCTCATCTCTACTGAAAATAGAAATATTAGCCAGATGTGGTGGTGCATGCCTGTAATCTCAGCTACTCGGGAGGCTGAGGCATGAGAGCTGCTTGATCCTGGGAGGCAGAGGTTGGAGTATGCCGAGATTGCACACTGCACTCCTGCCTGGGTGACAGCAAGACACTGTCTCAAAAAACCCCAAACAGTTCTAGGTTACAAAAAAAAAACCTCTACAGCCATGAACAGAGAACCAGTTTTGACATTAATGGCAAATGGCTTATAAGGAACTTTATACAGTTCATAGTTACTTTGGAGAACAAAAGGGAATAAATGACATTTAATGTATTACAAAGATAAGAATATTAACCTCTTTACAAAACTGGTAGGATACGAAAGATAAGGAACCAGTTATGTGGAAGTATGTCATCCTCACTGGGAGTTATGAAATTGTATGATTTCTAAACTATATGTTATATGACATTAAAATTCATACCTCATGTTAAAATTTAGTACAGATTATTGTGAGACACAGTATCCCTCAGGAAGATTTTAAATTTGGAATACTTTATGTTCAGGATTTTGTTTTTTATGCACCTCGTCTGAGAATCAATAAGCGGATTTTGGCCTTATGTATGGGAAACCATGAACTATACATGCGAAGAAGGAAGCCTGATACTATTGAAGTACAACAGATGAAGGCTCAGGCTAGGGAGGAGAAACACCAGAAGCAGTTGGAAAGGTATGGAATTTATGACCTTTTACTTTTAATTGACAGGAGTAGGCTATCTAAAATTTAAGACTGCTCCGTTTTTTAGATATACCTTACATTTGTATTTTAAAATATTTTCATTGTATTAAAATTCAAAGACAGTATTATCACTCTGTCCTTTAAAATGAGTACGTACAATTTTCAAGTTAGAAATCTTTGACAGGTATCTTGGAGAAAATAGCTTTTTGTGATGCATTACTTGCTTTTTATTGATAGACATTGTTTTAGATACAGTAGTTTGAAATTTTCAAAATTGTTTTACTTGTGACTTATATTAATTTTTTCAGGGTAAGAATGTGCTGAATATTTAACTTTGAAACAGTGTCAGTGACATTGTAGTACACAACTGAAACATCACTTTGCCGAGTAGGATAATGCCAAAGACCCTAATCTTTTTAATTGTGTTTCTCTTTAACTTAAAAAAGAAAATGTTAAATATGTTACATTGAGAATTTTAAAAATGGAATGATAGTGAATAAAAATTTGTATTAACCCTGGAATCAGATTATTAGGCCCAATAGTATTAATTTCCAAATCTGGTTTCAGAGTAATTTCAACTTTTTGCTTTACTTGAAAAAATTTAGAGGCCAAACTAAGGTTAACTTTTATTGAATAAATTTTTATGGAACAACATGATAGTCTAAGAAATGGAGTAGGTCCTTAAAATATACATATTTTAAATACTAGATACAAGGTACTTTGTATCTCGTAATTAAGGAAGCCATCTGCCAGATATTTTGCTACTATATTTTTAGTTTTTCTGTTGAATGGTTTTTTTCTTATTCAACAGCTGTTCTATGTAATTAAGGGATTTTGTTGATTTTTACTTATTTTGTAATATTAACTCAAATTATCTGCCTTAGAGAGGTTAACCATGTAACAAAACATTTTTATATGGGTGTAAAGCTTGTTAGTAATTACTGATCCCACCATTAAAGTTGGTGAGCTGAGCATGGTGGCATGTGCCTGTAGTCCCGGATAGTTGGGAGGCTAAGCCAGGAGAATTGCTTGAGCACAGGAATTTGAAGGCGATCAGGGCAATAGGCAACATGCAACATAGTAAGACCCTTTCTCTTTTTTAAAAAAAAAAAAAAAAAAAAGGGCAATGAGTTGGATTGTTACTTTGATGTGCTCTGACCTTTTTTATTGTGGTGATGTGTTTTAGCATTACATTGTGGTTCTAATCTTAAATGCTTTTTAAAAATAATCTTTATTGGGCTTTACTTTCTATACAGCACATTTTTATCCATCATAGATTTGCATTTGCCTCTGTCAAAGGGAAGACTTCCTTTAGTTTCTACTTAATTTTTAAAAATCATCTTAAAGCTTTCACTGTCTCTTCAAGGTCTTCTAGCATGAGATAAATGAGAAATTCCTTTATGTACAGTTCCTGTATCTCACACTCATCACTCTGTATTATGCCTAACTGTTCTGCTCATTCATAATGTTGATACGTTATTTACATTCTCAGCTTAATATAATTGTCTATATGTCCTTTATTTCATGGCTTATAGAGGAGTACTGTATCGCTTCTAGTACAGGTAGTATGTTTACTTGGTATCATTTGGTAATGGTGCTGTATTTTAGTTACTCTAGGGCCTAGATGGAAGTGAAAGACTTAAGTTTCTTTTTTGGCACAATAATCCATAGTTCTGGATAAATTTTATAGCTCTTCGTTAGTAAACAGTTATTGTCTGCTTTATACTCAGTAGGAGTTCAGTAACTTATTTAGTTTGAATGCCTAGAAGATACATTATTCTAGTCACCTAGGGATTGGCAGTCTTTCAGAAATGGCATACTGAGTCATTTATTCCCTGCTTTACAGGTCAGAGAGAGAGAGATGGCAACTGTATGTGTGGAAACAATTTTGATTAAGCCCATTGGCAAAGCAGCCAGCAGACATACCTGGGAGAATGCTCAGGTATGCTGCCTGTGCTGCTAGACTCTCTTGGGCAAGAACAGTAGTTGGGAAAGAGTAGTAAAGAGACCTCTTTCCCTACAGTACTTTGGTATTTTTGGCTATATTTACTCCCCATAATTTTCATAACTTTGGGGTTTTCTGGCAAGGAAGATGACCGTATACACTATGGGTGGTTATTCCTTGTAGTGTTTGCTCTTAAATTATTTGCATCCAAATTGATTTATGACTCATAATTTTTGCACTTTTTTGTATGGCTAAAATTGTTTCCACATGTAAAAACTGAAAGCCCCAAGTTTACAGTTTAGAGTTACATATCCATGTGCCAATTGTAGGTTAGCTATGGGAGATTCTGTATCGAGGCCGGCTAGTGTCATACAAGGAACACAGGCTTTGAAACTAGATAAATCTGGATTTGAAACTTCTTCTAACAGTCATCAAACAGATAATTTTGAGCCTGTGTTTCCTTGCTTTTAATATGAAAATAATATTCTTACCTTCAAGGGTTTTTGTAAGAAAGCATGACAGTGGTTTACAGGCATTTAGCAAAGTACCTGGTACTTAATATAACAATAGCCATTATAATAATTTCTAATATTATTATAAACTAAGTTGAATATGTTTTTAATATTCAATGAAGAAAAATGTAATTGGGCCCATTTGATATTCTTTAAAAAGTAAGATATTCTAAAGTAATTTTTTGCATGTTAATATAGGGAATAATAGTTTTTTAATAATCTTTATGTCCTTGAAATAGAATAACTGTGTTGAAATGAGTGTTTCCAAACCCATACTCCAAATAAAAATATCTGCGTCTATTATTACAGTAATCACAAAAGACTTGGTGAGGAAAGTGGGACTAAGCGGGACTAAGGCTTGAAGGCTAGAGAGAGGGGAAGATATGTTCAGAAGGAGAAGCCAACATAAACGAATATGTAGAGATAAAAATATGTGTGGTGTGCCTATGGGCCAGTGAGGCCCTCTCAAGTGAATAGCATTTGGGGGAGCAGCGAGATCCTCTAGTTTCATAAAGGAGACAAGACAGGCCTGTAAAAACTAGATATCACAGAGTGATATAAAGGACTGAAGGCATTTGTATTATTTGAATGAAGTGTTGGCTGGAGATGGCTCTCGTCTGGGTAGGATTCTTATAAAATGTGAGCTTTGAGCCTCACAAAGTACAGTAAATATAACATGTTTTAAATACTATAATCAGGTTAAATATCTGCTATATACTTATTCCATTTTTCAGTAGGAAGACCATTCCCCACCCCTCTCAACTTGTTTGTGGCTGGATTATCTTGAGTCTGTTTTTCTGCTTCCATATCTCCTTCACCTCTATCCCTGAAAAAGAACAAAAAATATCGATAGGGAAAAGCTAAATAAAATCAGCACATCCATCTCCAGAAGGGGTCATTTATGCCAGAGCTGGATCTGAAAGGCTGTTATTGGTGGAATATGATGGTAGCCTTCTGATTGAGATCTGGTTTGCAGTGGAGCTCCTCGAGAATTGTCTTGGGACCTTGGGGAAGGAGGGAGGAAGGTAGTTGGCTTGGGTGGCAGCACTGGATGTGATTGCACAGAGGCCGGGGAGTGGTTGGGTAGTCTAATCAACATCCTAGGGTGCAGACAACCTGGCATGGAAAAGAATTGCTTTTGGCCATACTAGCAATTACTTGGAAAGTTCTGTGGTTTTGCTTCTTGTGCTTTCATACAGAGCCTGATGTTTAGCTATCTAAAGAACACAGAAGGTCAGCCGCCGCTGTGGGGGCCACCAGGCCTTTCTTTTGCCCAGAGAGATTGGGAAACAGAAATTTCCCTTAAATTCATGTCTTACAGAGTTATCTCATACGTCTAGAACTCCTTAAATCTCTTTGCCTATATAGGCTTTATAAATTGAAATAGGATTGAAAGAAGTTAATGTCCTGCAGAGTGAGCCCAAGTACTGGGGTTAGGAATAGTTATTGGCTTTTCCTCCTTGCTGTTGAGAAAGTACCTTATTAGCACAGAGAACTCCAGAACAGAGATGGAACTTCCCTTGCATGAGTGGCCACAAGGCTCTAGTTTGTTTTTTATTTGACAGGGTCTTGCTCAGTTGCCTGCTAGGCTGGAGCACAGTGACACGATCATAGCTCACTGCAACCTTGACCTCCTGGGCATAAGTGATCCTCCCACCTTAGCCTCCTTGAGTAACCAGCACTGTGGGTACGTACTACCATGCCTGGCTAATTTTTTATTTTTATTTTTAGAAGAGATGAGGTCTTCTTATGTCGCCCTGGTCTTGAACTCCTAACTTCAATCCTGCCTTGGCCTCCCAGTGTGGTGGGATCACAGACGTGAGCCACCATGCCCAGTGTTTCTAGATTCTTATATGGTGGGTGGATTTATTAAACCAGCAGCGAGGTGTGGTGACCCTTCATGTTTTGGCTTGGCACACTAGAGGGTCACCATCAGTGTCTGACCTCTTGCTGACTTACAACACCTGTTTGCCCCAAAGGTGGGCTCTCTTTCTGTCTTAGGGGCAGATGGGTACTAGGAGCTGCAGGAATTTTATTAAAATTCAGGTTTATAAATAAGGGAGAAATCTTTGATAGCAAAATTTTGCTGATAAGTTTTTCAGAGACTGCAAGCTGAGAAACTATAGGGTTTTGTACTTGAAATTCAGAATTGACGGCAGGTGGCAGTGCTATCTATTTGTGGAACATTAGAGCATACTCAGATAAATTTCAGAGATGAAATCATAACTGAGTTTTTAAGTTATCAAAATAGTGATTTGAATGTTGATTCAACTTAAGTAAAAAACACTGTCTGATAATAGAGTTTCCCCATGTGAATTTTATTCCTCTTTATATTTTTGGCCCCAGCATAGAGTCTGACCAGTGGTAGGCTCTTGGTAGATGTTTCGTGAATGAATTTGGCAAACACTCTCAGGCCAGACGCGGTGACTCAGGCCTGTAACCCCAGCACTTTGGGAGGCCTAGGCGGGTGGATCACCTGAGGTCAGGAGTTCAAGACCAGTCTGACTAACATGGTGAAACCCCATCTCTACTAAAAATACAAAAATTAGCTGGGTGTGGTGGCAGGTGCCTGTAATCCCAGCTACTTGGGAGGCAGAGGCATAAGAATCACTGGAACCCAGGCGGTGGAGGTTGTAGTGAGCCGAGATAGCACCACTGCACTCCAGCCTGGGCAACAAGAGCAAAACTCTGTTTCAAAAAAAAAAAAAAAGAAGAAGAAGAAAGTTACACTCTCATCAGGCTCATGGCAGATGCAGCTAAATGATCAAGGCATTTTTTCCCCCACTGAGTTCTGATGATATTTTTAAAGATCATTAGCCACCTACTATCATTCTAATGGAGTTGTGAGAGGAGGTGAAACTGAAATGTCATCTTGTATCAAGGCATAAATGGGTACTACCTGAGAAATTAAACTTGGATTAATTTATTTTTAATGATTGAAAATTGTTGCCTTCCCTGTTTTTAAGATGCATGCCTTTGTTTGCTTCTTTCAGTCCTTTATTATTTCCCCAGCAGAGGGCTCCTGTTAATCTAAAGAAGGCATTTTCTTGGGGCATGGCAACTATGCGGGTAACTCTTGGTGCTGACATTTAATTTGTTGTCAGAGTTCATCCAGCATGCAAATGGTAAATCTGATTTTTCCCCCACGCAGTGTGCCTTATAAACATGGTTCGTACACAGGGATATATTCGACAGTTACACTTTACTAGCCATTTTGTAAACCCATCTTTTGTGGATGTTCCTACATGTTTAAGTTTTTAATATTTTTAAAAAATAGTCTCAGTTGTCTTTATTGTGACCCCACAATAAATAATACATTGGAACCCAGCACATGTATGTACATACGTACGTGGTCCTGTATTTTTAACTACATGCTATTTTGAACACAAGTGTAATATAATGAAAACCCTGTTAAAATATTTATGCCGTTGTTTCTTCTTAGTTGATTCACTTAGTTCTTAGGTTTCATATGAGTGACATTTCTAATTATTATTATTTTTCAATAGTTTTGGGGCTACAGGTGATTTTTGGTTACATGAATGGGTTCTATAGTGATGAATTCTGAGATTGTAGTGCACCTAAATGTACACTGTTCCCAATATGTAGTCTTATATTCCTCACCGCACTCCCAACCATTCCCTCTCAAGTCCTCAAAGTCGATGATATCACTCTGTCTTTGCATTCTCATAGCTTAGCTCCCGCTTATAAGTGAGAACATATGGCATTTGTATGTTCTGATATACTTCACTTAGAATCATGGCCTCCAGCTTCATCCAGGTTGCTGCAAAAGACATTATTTTGTTCCTTTTTATGGCTGAGCAGTATTCTATTACATGAATAATGTTTCTGTCTATTAATTTGTAACAGCAATTGCAATTTCTTTTAAGGGCACAATTAGAGAATGAAAAGAAGAAAAGAGAAATAGCAGAAAAGGAAAAGGAAAGAATAGAACGTGAAAAGGAAGAGCTAATGGAACGTCTGAAACAAATTGAAGAACAGACAATTAAAGCCCAGAAAGGTAAGTGTTTCTTTTTGACAATGGATTAAAAATTATTATTGCTTTGTTGTCAGATAGTGGTATTTTTTTTACTACTGTTAAACCTTATTTGTTATATAGGACAATTGTATATTTAAATTGCCAGATTAATACTTAGTGGAATTACATCATAAACATGTTTCACTAAGGCACATTCATTTATACAGTGCTGATGTTTCTCTTAAACACGCAAATTTTTTTTTTTTAGTTTTTTTATTTTAAGCAAATATTATTATTATTATTTTTTTTTTTTTGAGACGGAGTTTCGCTCTTGTTACCCAGGCTGTAGTGCAATGGTGCGATCTCGGCTCACCGCAACCTCCGCCTCCCGGGTTCAGGCAATTCTCCTGCCTCAGCCTCCTGAGTAGCTGGG